TACCATTCTGTGTTCGTCTGTCTCTCCTTCCTGTTCTCTCAACCAGCCGGTCAAAGCAGATGGCTGCTTGTCCTGAGCCTGGTTCTACTGGAGGTTTCTTCCTTTTAAAAAGGTAGTTTTTCCTTTCCACTGTTGCCACTGTGTTTGCTCAGGATGGGAGACTGCAACGAAGCCAAGATTCAACTTGTCTGCTGGATTCCTTAGATAGAAAACGTTACTAATTGGCTTTTATGTTTGTGAATGTTTCTGTAAAGTGCCCTGAGACAACTTTGTTGTGATTTGGCGCTATATAAATAAACTGAATTGAAATTGAATTGAAAAAATGTAGTGAAAGGCAGATATAAGATTTGTTTTTATCAACAAGTCACCAAATGGATATTAACATATAAAACGAATAGCCTAAAAAAAATAATCAACTCTAAAGATAGTTTTGTTCATCTGTATAAAAGCCTATTTTTAGAGCAAAATTATTTGGAAAAATACAGAACAAGGCTAGTTTAATTGAACTCGCTGCTCACTTTGGCTTTTGTAGATTGTGCTACTTCTTTCACCGCAGATAACAGCAGGTGTGGAGACAAGCGCAGCTGGCAATCAGCTAATTCATCCATCCATTATCTTAAATATAGAAAAAGGCTATTTTAAATGAAGGCGCAGCTGCTTGCTTCAGCTTTTATTCTGCTACTTCCTTCACTGCAGACGACAGCAGCTGAGGAGATGTGCGCAGCCGGTGATCAGCTGATTCATCCATACATTCATTATCTTAAATATAGAACAAGGCTATTTTTTTTTCCCTTGTCCTGTCCGGCATTGTGGCACTCAGAATTATGATACAAGTGTCAAGGTTAGGTCCAACAGATTTACTTTCAAAGGCAGAGCATTACGGCTGGCCTTAATGCTCCACTTGATATATAAATAAAACTTTATTAGAATTGCTTTGGGTTTGTTTCAGATGTAATGGACACAGGGATGAAAAAACAAAGAAGAAAACAAAGCAGAAAAGTGGAAGAAGGGTTAAAAGAGAAAGAAGGAGATAGGAGTAGAGGAGAGTGAGAGAGGTATAGAGTAGGGCTGTAAAAAAAGCTTGCCCGGGCAAATAAATTATATTATGATATGCTAATTTCATGGACGCAATACGTCAGGGCGCCCCGCCCTGTTAATAAAACCGAGTGCGTCGAACGACCAAACCGAACTGCGCATCTTTCCCCTCCACCTGTCGGTACTGATATAACGCTAATTAGCTGCGCGCAATACTAGCTAGCTAAAAACAAACAATGTGCGGCTCAGCTGTCTCTCAATCCAGCTCTAAACTGCAGGTACTGGCAGCTCAACTCTCTCCCTCCCCCTGCTCTAAGCTGCCACTCGTCTTTTTTTTTTCTCTCTCCCCACCTTGCTCTGGGCTGCCGGTGCAGGCTAAGTCTCCCCCGCTATAAACTGCCAGTACAAACACGCGCAGCTCAACTGTCTCTTGAGTTCCACAGTCCATGGAGCAAGAACAGAGTCAGGTGATCAAAGACAGAGCATCAGAGAAATTAATCTTTCCTGCAGGAACAGAGGAAGCTGAAACATCACAAGCTTCAGGGTCAGATGATCATCCTGTTACAAGTTCTGGAAGTTATAGCTCATTTAAAAGGCAACATATATTTTGTTGAATGTTACATTTATGCTCAACAGATCTTAAGCTTCATTTTATTTAGATATTTTGGGAAACTTCACCTGCACTTTAGTTTTTGTGAATTTATTGATCTATATTTTGTGCAGACCGTTTCAATATAAATAACAGAAGGATGATTTAATTTTTTTTATTTTTATACTTGGAGACTGAATACTTTACTAAATAAAGTAATTTCAGGAAAATTCCCCCTTGTTTTTTTAAATTTTATATAATACTGCAAAGCAACGTATTAAGTTGATTTTGTCAAATAAATAACTATGATTTCTGTTTTTTTTTTTTGTTATATCACAAAATTTATCGTTATTTCCAGAATGCTCTGAAATAATCACAATATTATATTTGAGTCATTTCGCCCACCCCAGTATAGAGATAACACAAATCAACATAATTGAAGTCTGCCTCTAGACCTGCGGAAAAAAAAAAGAAGACAAAATCGAGAAACCACAACAACAAACAGCATATGCATATATAATGATACTTATAACATTATTATAAAGCATTTTATATGGTACATGGTAATACAAGATGCAGATGCACTTGGTGGCCACCACAACCCAACTGAGTGTGTATCAGATAAACACTTGAATCTAAACACCTTTGTGAGCATTTTTTTTTTCATTTAGCCTTTATTTATACAGGTTAGTCTCATTGAGCCACGAGAACTCATTTTCAAGAGAGACCTGTTTAGGGAGCACATAGTGGGGGTTAAGGGCCCTGCTCATGGGCCCAGAGTGGGGCGAATGAGGGTGGGGGCAAGTGTGGGTGTTTCACCTACCCCACCCACAATTTTGATGTTGTCGGGGCCGGGACGTGAACCGGCGATCTTCGGATCACAAGCCCACCTCTCTAACCTCTGCACCACCACCTCCCCTATAAGGTTTCTCCATAAGTATGTTCAATAGTGGGCATGGGGACTCACAGAACCGTCCCCACAGGACACGATGGCGACACAGGGAAGACCGGAGCCACAGACACACTGCGTGCCCCAAGCCTGGAGGCCCGGGAGTCCCCTAACAGGGACAACTGTACCCCCACCAGAGAGAAGCAGAGGGAAGCCCCGGACGACCGCCAGGAACCACAATGCAGAAGCCTCAGGAGGCTGCAGTGACGAGCCCACAGGCCCTGCCGGCAACCCCCTACTCCAAAGCAGATCTGGCCATGGACACCAAGTCCCGAGGTCATACCACCCACCCAACGGAGGCCCGACAGAGCCAGGGCACCCAGGCCCTGGCAAACAACCACCAGGTCGGGCTGGCATACACCCAAGCACCCAACAAAGATGCCGAGAGCCACCAATGCACCGGCAGCAGGGGGGCCCACAACCAGAGGGGAGAGCAACAGGGGGAAGTAGACCCCATATTAAATGGGGAGCCCAAAATTATACAAGAGAGGGGACCACCCAAAACCCAACCCTAGACATAAACAGGCAAACATAGACAGTCCGACAGACTTGTTGGGCCGTCCATTCTCCCCACCCACCTGACAGCGACTGCAAGCCGGTCCCAGGCCGGGGACCAGAGCAGCAGGGAGCAGCAGCTGAGGAAGGCCGGCCCAGCGCACCAAGGACCAGGCACCCCAACAACTTCACACTACAGGCCCGTAGAAGCCCCGGCATGCCTGCCACCGACACACCTCCCCATAGAGCTTTAGAGCGCGACATCACTTGTCCACAGCACGGCGGCTGATGGGATAGGATGGGGCCGGATCCACCATGTTTACTGTCCTCCATATTAACTGTCGAAAACAAGCTTTCTCGCTGACTTTTAAAAATTTATTTTAAGTAGGTTAAAACAGTTTAGCAATTGTCCAAAATTGCTGCGTTATTGGATGTAATGTCCAGTCACACGACCGGAATTGTAAAAAGATCGAAAACAGACTTTTTTAATAGATTCTCCGCCAGGAAGCAACGCGAGGAGCTCATGTGTCAGACATAACAAAAAGGAGACAGCGAAATGTCCCGATAACCTTTTCCAGCGTCCCAAGATACCAGCTAGTTTGTTCCTTCTGGTGAGTGTCTAAATTCAGTTTGTTGGTGTTGTGCCATAAATTTGTGCCATGATTTTGTCCGGGTGTACTCATGTTTAGTTCATGTTAGTTCACAGAAGTGGACCAACCTAGTTTAGGTCAGGTTTATATTTTGAATGTAACTTAGTAATAACAAAGTAACTGATAAATAACAAATAAATAAATAGTAACTGTCAGTGACAGTGTTAGACATGGTGTCATATGGCTGATATGACGATCTGACAACCTATGCTAACCCGACAGATACAGCCATCGGTTTGTGCTACGCAAATAACAATCTGACAATGTGTGACTAATGCCCCTTTTCCACTGTCAGAGTGCGGATCAGATCAGTTTGTGTTGGTTCAGATCGGCTCGGGTCTGTTGTGTTTCCATTACACTTCTGGACCGGCTCTGTAGGCGGGGACTAGAATCCAACTCATCTTACCACCTGGTGGCGGTAGTGCTCCCTTAAGTTATTTACCAGCCACCACAAAACGTTAGAAGAAGAACACCCTGAAAGACCTTGTCTTACCGGCTGGTGGCAGTAGTGTCCCTTAAGCTATTTACTGGCTCCCACAAAACGTACTAGAAGAAGAATACACTGAGAGGTACACAAACAAAATGGAGGACGTCAGTTTTACTGAACATTATAGTCAATCTGTGGTTTTTTGTGAAACATCGAAGAGAACAGACCCTAACCCGTTCCCAGAGAAGGCTGGAAAGTCTTCGGGCAGCACACCGAAGGCTGGAGGATGCGGACAGAAGGCTGCGGGCAGCAGACCGAAGGCTGCGGACTGCAAGGCGAAATACTATGGAGAAGTACCGGAGAGTGTGGGAAGCCATAACGCAGTATGAAATAGAAGATAGGATGCGAGCTAGGCGACGAAGTGTGAGGGTAAGCTAATGCTTTAGCCATAAGGAGTGAATTGTGAAGCGGGAAATATTATTATTATTATTATATATTACTATTCATACTTTTTGTGCGTTCACAGTATCTTTCATCTGATATCATCAATCAATCAATCAATCAATGTACTTTATTGATCCCAAAGGAAAATTTCATAATTGATATCTATCACCTGACAGTAATGATATTGACTTTAAAAAAAAAAGAAATAAAAAACATTTTTTAATTGTTCAAAATGACGGAAATCCGTCTCGGGGATGGAAAAAGTTAATCTGTGAAACTGCAACTAAAATAAAGTCCATGCTCAATAATCCAGGTATACAATCCAACATTTTTCAGTCAGGTCATCTGGACAGTTTCTTTTTTTGTGCAACTAAAATCATCACTGAAAAGCAGGAATGTTTAGATACAAACCTAATCTGTGAAGCAGAACTTCTGGGTTGAAAACAGCGTCTTGTGTTTCGTTGTGTCGCAGTTCGTCCTTTAAACGACATCGTTCCTCTTTATAATCTGCGACTGTTGTTTCCAGAAACTCCATTTCTTCCTTAAGAGTAAAAGACCAGAAGTAGTCGCTTGGAAAACGACTGAATGAACCATCACCGCCACCAACTGGTGAGGAGTGTGGACCACATGACAAAAAACCCTCTCCTTTTCCTTTTATTATACAACCTACACCGTTTTAAAAAAATTAAATATAGTCTTATAACCTCTATTTCCCAAATCTTTCAACAATTTCCAATTTCCATATTACCAAGATTCCTTATTAACTTGTTTCTTTGAATCTGGTATATCCTGCAATGCAAACGACTCAGGCACGGCTTTTTTATTTAAAACGGGCTTTAAGTGCAAATTTCTTAGAATTTAATCAAAACTCCAGTTCTGCTGCATATCTGTTGATAATGAACCAAAGCTACTGAAGTTGAGTATTCTTGTTATAAAAATATTCCTGTCATCAGATCTCAGTCAGCTTCATTGCAGCTGAACACCGTGTTACACTGAACATCACATCAGCTGGTGGACATAAATACAGTACAGTAATATTATATTCACAAAATACTAACAATACTATGTTCATCTTACTTGTGAAAAGTTATCCCCCGAGACCTGACGTCAACAGTTCGTAGACTTGAACAGAAATAAGCTGCGAAGTGCTGAAACATCTGCTGCTTTAACCAAATAAGGACGACAGATCCAAGATGGCGGCCGAAATTATCTTCTTCTTCTTGTTTTATTGGCGGTTGTCAAACAACTGAAGGAAGCATTACCGCCTCCAACTGGTAAGGAGTGTGGACCACATGACAAAAAATACAATTTTCCTTTTATATCCTATTATACAACCTACACCGTTTAAAAAAAATAAAATATAGCCTGATATCCTATATTTCCTGAATTTTTCTGCAATAAATCAATAATGTCTAATTTCATTTTCATTTTACTAAGATGCCTAATTGTTTCTTTGAACCTGGTATCTCCTGCAATGCAAAATAATTCTATGGTTTCCTCTTCTCCACACTTGCATGTCCCTGTCTGATGTTTCCCTATTAAACATAAAGTGCTGTTCAGCCCAGTGTGCCCAATTCTGAGTCGTGAAATAATCGTTTCTTCTCTCCTGTTTCTTTCTGTTCTTCTCCTTTCTCCAATTTTCCTTTGGATTTTATAAAACCACCGGCCTTTCCTTTCTTCCTCCCATAATTTTTGCCACATTTCCTTCATTTTTTGTTTTATTATACCCTTTATTTCTGTTATACTAAACCCAACATTAATATCAACCACGTCCCGACTAGTGCTCTCCTTAGCCATCCTGTCTGCCTTTTCATTCCCCATAACCCCGTGATGTGCTGGAACCCATATAAAGTTTACTGTAATCCCCATCATGTTGATCCTATAAAGTGCTTGCTGTATTTCAATTAATGTATCTGGTCTACTATCTGACTGGTTGTGTTGCAAACTGGACAATGATTAACTAGAATCTGAGCAGATGATTGATTTTAATGGTCTTACCTCTTCTACCCACTGAACTGCTAAAAGTAAAGCAGCATTTCTCCTGTATAAACCGATACTCCATCACTAACCCTTTTTCCTACTGTAATATGAAATTGTGGTACAATGAATGCTATCCCTATTTTATTAGTTGTATTTTTAGATGCGTCTGTGTATATATGTACATAATTATAATACTGGTTAATGTATTCCTGTACTGTATATTTATCCATAATAAAATATTTATTCTTGTTTTTCTTTTCTAATAATGAAAAATCTACTATTGCATCAGGAAGTACCCAAGGTGGTGGTGTTGGTAATGGAACTTTCTGACATATATCTAGTTGATCTAAATGGATTTCATTAACTTTGGCTTTTATCATCCACCCAAAGCTTTTTATTTTTTCCTTTTCCCAACCTGATTTAAGCACCTCTAATGTTGGATGATTATTTCTTTGTCCTTTTAAATTTGTCCAGTAGTTTAAAGATAGCTGTTCCCTTCTAAATTTAAGAGGCATTTCTCCCATTTCAACCTGTAATGCTGCTGTTGAAGATGTTTTTAAAGCACCTGTACATATTCTTAGTGCCTGGTATTGGATATTATTTAACTTATTGAGGTTTGTATCTGCTGCTGAGTTGTAACATATGCACCCATAGTCCAAGACTGACCTAATTAATCCAGTATAAATGGCTGTCAATGAATTTCTATCAGCTCCCCACTCAGTTCCAGCTAAACGCCTCATTATATTTAACACTTTCCTACATTTATCTATTATTTTCTTAATGTGTACACCCCATGTCATTCTTTCATCAAACCACAACCCGAGAAATTTAAATTCTTTAACTCTTTCCAACTCCTGACCATATAATTTTAGCTTGATTTTCTTAGCAACTCTTTTCCTTGTAAAGAACATTATTTTAGTTTTATCTACAGAAAATTTAACTCCCCATTTATACGACCATTTTTCTACTAATGAAATTTCTCCCTGAAGCTTCAGCCAGCTCCTGCGCCGCAGCAGCCAATGAGGGATCTAGTTTTTACATGATATATGAGATCTCACCACTCCTTTCCGTTCACACAAATCTCGCGAAAACGGTACAACGAAAATAGTCTTTTTTTTTAAATAATCTTTATTAAAGCAAATGACAAGTATACAACAAACAAAAGGCTGGAGTATACAGACGAACACAACACTTACACGAACAAACAACCAGGGGTGAGTTTTTTAAACAAATAAAAACAAAGATTTACATATAGAAATTATCCTAAGGGCCTTTTTGTTGGTAGAGTCTGTTATTAACTTTACATATAATTCCACATCCTTAGTAAAATGAAGAAAGCATGGCGTTTTGTTAGTAAATTTACATTTATGAATGAAAAATTTGGCCAAAAGAATTAGCAAGTTTATTATAAAAAAAACCCTGTTTAGCATCCTTTCGGGGGAATCTAGAAAAACTAATTAAAACATTTTCCCAACGAAAGGAAAAATTCCTTAAAATATCCTTATTAATAAACCTGCTAAACTCCTTCCAAAACCTGCGTGTGAAAGGGCAGTGCCTAAAAAGATGTGTCACAGTTTCTGGAAGATCACCACAAAAACTACAATCAATATTTATGTCTCTTTTAAATTTTAGCATATAATGTTTAGCGGGGTAAATTTTATGAAGAATTTTAAATGAAACTTCCTTCACCTTATTTATAATTAAATATTTATGGGGATTCATCCAGACTGTCTTCCAGTTGATATCTGGAATATAACGGCTCCAATAAAATGTTATATATGGACGAGAAACGAAGCCTTCTTGGAACAACCTGCGTGTTCTCTTATTGTTGTTACCACGCTGCTGTAAAAAGCAGGTTTTTCCCACTGATGACTCAGCTGGACCAGTGAGAGGAACTGGAGTAGACAGAAAACTGTTAGTATTTTTAAACAACATTAAGGTGCCTGAGTGTATAGCGCTAACCACTGTTGAGAATTTGTGGAGACTAACTGGGAAATTATATAGTGAGCAGAATTCACTGTAGGTGAGTAGTTGTCCATCCTTATTAACCAGCTGAGCCACCAGTAGGATCCCATTTTGAACCCAAGTCTCAAGGAAGAGTGACCTGTGTTATGATTCGGACTACCCAGTGGGAACGAGAACCAGAACGACAAGAGTCTCAAGTAAGCAAAACAGTGTTTATTATTTACAGTGAATGAGACGACAGGTATATACAAAAGTTGGCCTGGGACTCCTGAAAAAGGGAGAGACAGGGTCAGGACTAGGAGGCAAGTGGAGGCAGCTCAAACGGTGGAATAAATTGTTTTGTCTTTCCTTACAGGTAAATCCTTGTGGGGTGAGGTTGTGGGGGAAAATCCCGAGGCAGGCAAGTGGTTGGAGGGCAAAGGCAACAGAGGCGAGACTCCGACACAGGAAGAACCAAGAGCAGGATCCGAGATGACCAGAAAACTGTAGACACAAAAAACACGGTAAGATATCCTCTTCATATAATCAATATACTGGCTAGAAGCACAACTACCCGGAAGGAAGTAATGCTCCAGCGACGAAAAGAGCTTGACTGCAGCCTTATGTAGTGGAGGAGCTCGTCAGGTGGATGGTCGTCAGCTGTGGATGATTGGCGGCCATCTTGGGGCTGCAGCAAGTTCAACTCTTACAGTACCCTCCCCTTCACGAGTCGCCCCTGGGTGACCCAAGGCGCTTCTCGGGGTGGGCCTTGAAGAAGGCGGTGATAAGGCTGGGGTCCAATATGAAGGAACGAGGGATCCAGGATCGCTCCTCCGGGCCATAGCCCTCCCAATCCACGAGGTACTGGAAGCCCCGTCCCCGACGATGGACATCCAGAATGGTACGAACAGTGAAAGCTGGATGGTTGACAATAAGTCGGGTGGGTGGAGGGAGGTTGGCCGGAGGGCACAATGGGCTCTCTGAAACAGGTTTTACCTGAGAAACGTGGAAGGTAGGGTGGATTCTCAAGGAGCTGGGGAGCTGTAGGTGCACTGCCGAGGGATTGATGATCTTGTCAATGGTGAATGGACCGATGAAGCGAGGAGCCAATTTCCTGGGAGTGTTCTTGAGGTGAATGTCTCTGGTGGATAACCACACCTTCTGGCCCTCCTGATAAGAAGGTGCGGCGGAACGGTGACGGTCCGTGAACCTCTTGTTTTGAGCCACTGTGTGAAGAAGAGCCGCCCGTGTTTGGCGCCAGACACGTCTACAACGGCGAAAGTGGTGCTGGACAGATGGTACAGAAACCTCTGTCTCCTGACTGGGGAACAAGGGAGGGAGATAGCCCAGTGAAGCCTCAAAAGGTGACATACCTGTGGCCGAAGAGGTATGCGAGTTGTGGGCGTACTCGACCCACACAAGATGTTGACTCCACGCTGAGGGGTTACGCTCCACAATGCACCGCAGGGTGGTCTCCAGCTCTTGGTTGCACCTTTCAGTCTGTCCGTTTGACTGAGGATGATAACCCGAAGTGAGACTGGTGGATGCCCCCAATGTCCTGCAGAAACAACGCCAAACTTGGGAAATGAACTGCGGTCCTCTGTCAGAGACCACATCTGAAGGGATGCCATGAATCCTAAAAACTTGTTGGACCAAGATCTGAGCTGTCTCCATGGCCGACGGGAGCTTGGGTAGTGGGACAAAATGTGCTGCTTTAGAAAACCTGTCGATGATAGTTAGAATAGTGGTGTTACCTTCAGAAGGGGGTAACCCGGTGACAAAGTCCACTGAAATATGAGACCAGGGTCGGCTAGGCGTCGGCAGAGGCTGTAGGAGACCGGCAGGTGGCTGAGTACCGGTCTTGTTCCTGGCACAAGTGGAGCAAGCCGCAACAAAGTCCTTGACATCCTTAGAAAGCGTGGGCCACCAGAAATGTCTCTTCGTGAGAGACAGCATGCGTGCTGTACCGGGATGACACGAGAGTCTATTGGTGTGGAGCCAGTCGAGTACCTTAGACCTCATATGTGAGGGGACGAACAAAGTGCCAGGGGGACCAGTGCCAGGATCAGGTTCCGTCAAGTGGGCTTCCCGAACCTCTCTCATAATAGGCCATGTAAAGGCCCCGACAATGCAGACTGGGGAGATGATGCCCTCCACAGGTTCTGGAGTGTC